GAATCACCTGATTGCAAATTGGCGAAACTGAATTATTTCAAATGACTGCTTACATTTCGTCTGATCAGGGAATTAGACGTTGTTAAATTACAAAAGATGATCGGAGGAGTTTTTTTTATCTTTCCAATTATTTCTTGCATATCAAAATTAGTTTTCTTCTTTTTTCTCTGTAGATTTTTTAACGAATCAGTGTTTTTTCGTGATTCACATTCTACGTATGAGTTCTAGAACTCAACTGAAATATCTTGTTGACTAACATCAGAAAAATACTCATTTTACGTTTGCAATGTTATTATTTTTCTCTAAGAAATTACTTTAAAGTAACAATACATTATTGGAGGAAATCCCGAAGCCACACAAAAACTTTACAGAAGGCTTCACTAGAGCCACGTTTGTAATGTGTTACCAACTTTCATGTAAATGTTATTGTTAAATCTCACTTAGTAAAGATTTTTTATGGCGTTCTAGGATTATTCATTCCCTAAAACATGAAGGAGTAAGGAGTTTGTATAATGCATATTTGATGTAAGAAATCAAACTGCTTAATAGTATGTATCTTAGCTAAGATTTTTAATGTTAATCTAAACTATTCCGTGTATTTCAGAAGAAAATGTAAATGTGATTTTATTTTTTCTAGCCAGATTTAGTTCTTTCTTATTCAGTCTGATGATTAAAAATGTTGTATTGGAGTTTATCTTATCTTGTATATCTGGATTAAATGTTTTTGGAGTGAACAATTTTTAAATTATCTTAGCTGGTTTAGTAACACTAATTTATTTCTGCTTACTTGTGGTGAGATTGTATACCTTTAAACTTTCCAATGCATGAAAGACAGAATCAGAGCATATTGGTTTGAAATGTTACTATTTGTTCCTTTGAAACCAGTAGATATGAAAATGTCAAACAAACATAAACAACGCTTCTTCCTTTACCTCACAAAAGATCATTTCAGTAAAGTTAACTTTGTTCCTGCAGATGCTTCTTCTCGAGACTGCCAGTTGCAAACTTGTCGTTTCCTCGAACAGAGTTTGTGAAATGAAATTGATTTCCTGTTTAGTCAAAGTTGACATCGTTGTATCAAGTTGAGTCTTTAATCAACCTTCCTTTGTTGCGAGGAGATGAGGTTGATGTTGAGGCAATGTTGTTTTGAGAAATGCATCAAATATGCTTAGTGTTTACCGAGTGGAAAAGATCTTGTTAAGGAATGAAACAAAGTTTAAACTCTGTGGTTTTTATTTTATGGGATTTAGGTTATGTATGTATACAGATACTTCTTTTTATTAATATATTGACAATGGACTAATAACAAACTAAGGTTAATCTTGGTACAACAATTTCAATCACGTAGATCCCTTATCACTTCAATAAGACAACAATGTACTTTGTATACTTATAAGTTTAATATAAAATCTATGGTGGGTGTAGAATGGAGGGGATGATCCGTGAGGCTTGGCTACCGGTACTGAGAAAGATCAGCTGTTTTTTAAGCTTGGACAAGACAAGGCTTGGACAGACAAGGGCATTTCAGTTCAGTTTTGAACCATTACAAGCTACTGACTTCTCATAGGACCGAACTAGTGACTTTTAGCGAATTTCCCTATAGGGAAGTAGTTATTACTGTAGGTAAGACCTAGGCCCGGGACCGATTTACTTTTTTCAATTTTGATGTCCCAGATGCCAAAAACTATTCGTTCAAATTTATATTTATGTATATGTCCGTGAACGTGATAGCTTGATTAATTTTTGTCAGATTTTGATAAAATTTGGCTTGAAGGTGTAGAGCTGGATAAACTTGAATTAGTTCGCAAACCAGCATGATCGGACCATGGAAAGGGGGTTTTATGAGATGAAAATTAGTTTTCCCATTTTTGATTCTCAAAATTAAAAATTTTGTAATTTCTATCCAAACCGTTTTGTAGAGCTTAAAAAACAAATAATTAAGTATGTTGAAATATTTCACGCGCTCAATGGTTATGGAGAAAATTCCAAAAAACCTGTAGTTTTCAAATCTCATGTTAATCTTAAGGAGAAGGTAACTGTTGTAGTTTGCTTGTTTATGGATATATTTTGATCAAACTTGGTAAATTTATTTATTTTATACTAAGCTATTAATATTTTGCTAAAAACTCACTTTATTACCCTCCCTGTAGTAGCATACCTAGGTACTTGTTAAACTTAGATTGAAATAAAAATATAATCAGGTAAATGGAAATTTGCTTAGTCTGCAGGTTTGCTGCAGCGGGGGTATTTTTGTTTATTAGGGTTTAGGTTTCCTTAAATTTGTACTTGTAAATAATAGTTGATTCATTAAACCTGTGATATTAGTAGAATCACACCTGTAAACTTAATTTCAAACCTTCCTTTGCAGAAAACCAATTATTTACTTTTAAAGTATTTTACGCCATACTACACTGTTTTAACGAACTTCCCACGCAAGTATTTAGTCCAGAAAACAGCTGTTTGCCGCCAGCTTAATCAAATGGGGTTTCATTGCGTACTACTGTTATGCAATGAGTTTTACCGGACACCAATCAGCTGATTATACTGTATTTGGGTGGCAATGAGTGGTTGTAGACAAAAACATAACCTCGCTTAGAGGTTATGACTAGTGATTTTTGGTCCTTTAGTTGGTGGTAATATATAAGGATTTGTAGAGATTTAGTAGTATGGCGTAAACTATCGTACGTAACTCGTCCAATACGTGTTTACCGGACTAGTAACGTAATATACTTTTTCAAACCCTTAGAGCTCGGGAAAAACCATGTTGAGTCTTATTTACAATACGTATTGGTCCTCATCTGTTAATTCACTACCACTACTTTTTCATAGATAAGTATGCAACAATGCATATCAGCTGATCGCCAATGAAGTAAAGAAACAGGGATACCAACAATAAGCTTGTTTAGTCAATGTGTCTCAAAGTACTTTTAATTTGGGTTGTGTTTAAAAAATGCAAACCAGTATTTCAACCACAACTAATTACATAACATCAAGGAAACTTCCTAATATGGTTGGTATCAGATAATCGTATTGCAGATTTTCAGCTGAGTAGCTTTTTTAAAAACTAAAATTATCTTCTACTAGACAATTATCTATACAACACAATAGATAGAATAATTCCTCTGAGGTTGCGATACATCCATTTTAGTGTTACACAATATTGCAGGCACAATGTGACATTAATTCAGCCCGTAACAATGTTGTTATTATATTAGGAACTTGATCCAAACAATGTCAATCTAAAACTTGATTAATCCGATCTTGTATGATGCCATGTAAATTAAACTGGTTATGCAAGTGAGAAGGATGTCTTGCAATGTTTATAGTTGAGTGATGAGTTGTAGATGTATATTGGTGTTTTATTTATTTTTACCCTCTTTGCTGCAAGATGGATTCCCTGTAACTTAGACATGACTGGAGTTTTACATTTATAATGCATTATTCCTATAGAATTCTGTTTAAAAGTCACATTTAAAAACAGTTTTTTTTACTTCTTTTCAATTTTCTAATCGTAACTACCTTTTAAATATTTTTTTTACTACAAATATTTATTTTTTGTGAGGATTCCAAGTTTACAATTTAAAAAGTTTACAACTTAAATGTACTAAACTGGGCAGCCAAAAAGCCACTGATGTCTTTCCTGAATAGCTATTAAGTAAATTTATAAAATGTTTCTCCCAAAAAATATAGAAGACCATACTAAAATATTTTTTTTAACATGTAAATTAAACTAATTACAGGTTGTATACAAACTCTCTGGAACGCTTTGTATATTTGTTCCTTCATTTGAAACTATGAAAAAACATTGTATAAACAGGGGTCTAAAATACCTGGTTTTCTGTCTGTCTATCTGAGTATAGATAAACAGACAGAAAACCAGGCATTTTACACCCATGTTTTTGTGATCTTTTTCATTGTTTTAACCTAAGAAATTGATATTAAAGGCGTCCGAGAGAGTGTGTACACACCCTGTATGCTGTTTACAATGCCTCCTAAAAAATGTTCCCTTTCAAATCATAAAAAAACGCCACTGGTGTATAAAAGACACAAAATAAGAAAAATTAATAGGAAGTAATTTATTGAAACTCCTAGGTATTATTTCTTACGTAGTTAGATTACCTACTTAATACAGTTAGATTTACCTCAAGAGAACTGATTATTGGAAAGTAATCAGTGAGTTAATCAAACTAATGATCGCATGTCGAGGAGAGGCTAAGTTAAGTTCACCCACTAATTGATCAAGTTGAGAAGTTCAGTTCTGCTTATTAGATCAAATAAAAGTTATTGATCAGCGTGAGGAAATGAAGATGAACATAATCATTCCATATATTCTTAATGTTGCTTTTAGAACTTTAGTGATACATCAAAACTATACATTTATGGGTGTTTTGCAGTACTCTAAATATGGTTCAAACTTTTGGCAATTTTTACTTTTTGATAGGAAAATGATCCATTCCCTTTTTAATTTTTTGGGGTTTTATTTTGAGATGTAAGTATTTAGAATTTGATTTCTCATTTAGTGTTGTATTAATAAATACCCCCGCCACAGCAATCCTGCAGTCTACGCGAATTTCCACTTAGCTTACCTAGCTGGATTTCTACGAAAATGTTTCCTTAAAATTAACCAGATTTATTTCCTATTCAAGTAACATTAATTTTAATAAGTAGGCTACATTGGTTTGCTGGCTACAGGGAATGTGTTTAGATGTAAAGTGTTTAAGGAGTGTTTATTATTGAAATCTTCATACAGTTGCCCAGTGTGGAATAAACAAAATCGGCAAAACAAAAAAGTAAATCGTTCCTGGGTCTAGGTCTTACCATGAGACCGGAATTCACTTATGATATGTTTGTGGGAACTCTGAATTTGAAGACGAGCGCTATAACCACTCAGCTATCCAGAGAATCGTTTTAAACTCTAATTCCCGCTATTTTTTAAAGGTATGGTTATAACAACAATCTAAATATCCATAATCTTGTATTAACAAATATTTCCTTTACAGGAGCGATGAGGTGCAGAGGTCTTTGGAGTTGTTGGACCAGGTTTTGTCAGAGTTCGACGATCTGGAAAACGGCAACGTGGCGGCGCGAGAGGTAAATTTATCATTTAGAGAGGTCAAACTTGATCATACCTTTAAGATAACATCTTAGTAAAGTTCTAAATGAAATCAGAAGTTAAATGAAAAGTTAAATAAGTGATTTAAAGAACCGTTTGATTTAGTATATAGGATATAAGCTTGTGGTCTGCAAAACATCAGCACAGCACGACTCACAGATAGACTCAGCTAAGCTTGATACAATTAGACATTTTACATGTTAAAGTTGTTGCCAGTTTTCAAATAAAAATCGTCAAAGTTGATGCGAGCAACCGACAGCAGATAAAAATTACTAATTCCTCTCCAATATACAAATTTTTTGACCAATTAAAATGACTTATTGTGAGCTTCAGCAACTACTGTTATTACCCATCAACTTGATCAGCAACATAAAATATGTAGAAAATAGAATTTTAGACACTATAGAGCATTCTGTGACTGGCTCACACAACATTTTTTTTTTTTTTTTACAATTGGTGATAACTAATTGGTCCATATAGATGGGAAGTCTACTTCAGTATCCAATAGTCAATGGTACTAGTTAGAACGAGAGATATGTAATTATATGCGTAAATATACAAGTATATTGAAGCTGCCAGAGATAATTCAGGCTCCAAAAAAGTCTTATGGTTAAATTCCACTAAACTTTACAAACCTTGTCTTCCAGTTCAAATATAGTGTTTGAAGTCCACTACATATGTTTCGCCATATATGGCGTTCTCAAGTGGTTACAGAAACATTTTATCCAATTTGGACTCGTCAACATGTTACTTCAAATACGAAAATATTTACATTATGACACCAAAATAAATAAACGAATAAAAACATTGAAACATGTAGGCCTACAACACATAACCCGACCAATATTTGAAGTAACATGTTGATGAGGCCAAATTGGATAAAATGTTTCTGTAACCACTTGAGAATGCCATATATGGCAAAACATGTGTAGTGGACTTCAAACACTATATTTGAACTGCAAGACGAGGTATGTAAAGTTTAGTCTATACTACGCAGTTCAGGGGCTACAAAATGGAAGTTAAATTCCAATGAAACTTTATCTTTATCAATTCTTATACAGTAGTCTCCTTAACTTTTGGTGAACGACCAGAATGCATAAATAAGATACGCCCCCCTCCCTCAAAAATTACCTTCAGTATTTGTTTATAGTCTTACATACTAGTGTGTATACTCAAATAATGAATTCCAGAGGCCATCCCAATCGATATATGTGTTCAGTGGTTATATTTAACCTTGTGTTTTCTTGTAAACATGGGCCTTTTTGTCTGTGGATGATAAGTAGTCCTTCCCACTACCAGTTGAACCATTAACTCACCGAACACAAGAAACCAATATGCACAAGAAACACAACATATAAATGTCATCAACACATTCTTTTTAACAGTTTTACTTAAATTAAGGGTAAGTTTAAACTAGCTAAGAGTTTTTTAAACTAATTTGTTCTTCAGGTGCGGGCACAGTTGTCGGAAGACGACGGGTACATGAGTATGAACGGGCGGCGCGCCAAGTTCGTGCTCAACTTCCGTCCCCCGCCACCTGACGGAGAGGAGCTGCCCCCGACACCGGAGCCATGTGGTCCTCCACCCCCGGAACTGGCAGACTTCCCTCCCCCACCTGAGGAGGCAGAGAGGATTATATCCACACTTCTACCTAAGTAAATATACAAATTTATAAATAAAAATACTTTTTAAATATGCCACGTTTCTAACGCACTAAAAAGTATAAAATAATTTATAAAATGTTGAGAGAATAAATACTTGTAAGATTTAAAACGAAAAACGTGGGGCGCATGCTGATTTACAATTAACTTCACCTATTGAACTAGTATGATCTATTGCATGCGCCCCACGTTTTTCATTTTAAATCTTACAAGTATTTATTCTCTCAACATTTTATAAATTATTTTATACTTTTTAGTGCGTTTAAAAACTTGGCATTTTTAAAAAGTATTTTTATTTATAAATTATTATCTAGTTTTTAGTCTTTAATGTGTAAATATGTTAAATCTATTTTATATATAGTCTCTTAATACATAACCAAAACCCAAAACCTTATTATCTGTAATCAGATGTTTTATCTTTACTTTGAAATGATTGTTTTATATTTTTGGATATTTCGGGAGCAAAACCTGTACCTCTTAACCTCTGCTCTTCTAACTGTCAAATTTAAGTATTTACAGCTGACTTAAATTAATTTATATGTTTACATTCTTTTAAAATGTAAACATGGAAAACTTGGAAGCCAAAGGGGCGTAGCCCAAGGGAAATATGAAAATTAAATGATATAATATTGCATTGTCATCCATTTGTGAGCTATGTTTCAAGTTTCAAGTCTCTAGCTCATCGGGAACTTCGTTTAAAATTGATATCAAAATTTGTAGGAAAGCTAGCTAATAAAAACAAGCCCATGGGGCGTAGTCCAAGGAAAATATGAAAATTAAATGATATAATATTGCATTGTCATCCATTTATGAGCTATGTTTCAAATTTCAAGTCTCTAGCTCATCGGGAAGTATCAAAATTTGCAAGAAAGCGATTTAATAAAAACAAGCCCATGGGGCGTAGCCCAAGGGAAATATGAAAATTAAATTATATAATATTGCATTGTCTTCCATTTGTGAGCTATGTTTCAAGTTTCAAGTTTCTAGCTCGTCGGGAAGTTAGTATAAAATTGATTTCAAAATTTGTACCGGACAAGAAAGCGAGCTAATAAAAACGTTTTAAAATAAATAATTTCATAACAAATTTAATCAATCCATTAATTGAGCACACATGAAAAAGTAAATTAATTGATGAACAATGGTTATTTTATCTGGAAAATTGTTTTATTGGTCGATGTTTGGTACAATAATACAGTATTATTATTGAAATCAAAGGACCAAACACATACTCAAAGAACAAAAATGTTTCCTATGCAGTGTGATTTAACAAGTTAAATGATCCGTGCATTTCAACAAGTATTATTTGACTTGTTCCATTGTATAAAATGAAAAGTAAACAATTAAACTGTAAGCATTGAAATTTTCCTAATTGAAAACAACTCTAGGAAAGTAAAGTTCATCCATCAAAGAAGATTTATAAATAGAACCAATATTATACCATGTTATGGTTTTGGCAGAGGGATTAAAATTATACCAGTTATGATTCCTAAATTCTGCTATCTGTCGATAAACACTAAATGAGAACATTTTTTTTATTACATTACGTTATGATTAATTAAATTAATGGGTTGCTGTAAGTTATGAAACTTCTGTTTTTTGTTTGTAGCTTGTTTAACTATTTGATCAAGGGGGTCAAAGAAGGATTAGATAGTAGTTTAGGTGTATGGATTCTAAAAGTAACTAGATTCTATCCATATCAGTTAATTTACAGACAAAGTTAGAAATATTGTTCAATCTGTGTTCAGTTTCAGTTCTCCCTATAGCTCAGGTATTTGTAGTTCTAAATACAACCACCAGGGGCAGCACTGTGTTGAACACTGCTGCTGCTCTCTATAGAAAACTGATGCAACTAAATCACTTGTGCTCCCTATGTTAATTTACATAATATGTTTTACATAAGTAAATGTTCATATCCGAATGTTCAATCAATAAATGTTTGTAAATAACCATTAAATTACTTGTTTAATTTTTACCATTAAACATTTTTTGTTTGTTTTATTGATAACACAAACAGTCAACTATTCCGATTTAATAACAATCATACCAAATCAAATTAATTATGAAAAAAATCAAGGTAAACTCGCAAACTGGTTTAATCATTATACTAGCTGCATGTGAGCTTTTGGTATATGAGATATCTGACTAATGAATTGTTTGCTTGGTATGATCAGCTGTTTTAACCATATGTGAAACAGCTGTTTGATAATGCTTTGTTCATTTTAGTTTGGTAGTTGTGGTCTGTACTATGAAAGTGTCTACAATTATCTGGTAAGACCAGGTATCATTTGTTTATTTAAGGCTTGTATGTTTAAGAGGCAGTCCTAGAATATGTTTAAGGAAATGACAACGATACACCACTTTGTTTAACAAATCACCATCATAACCCTTGGGGTAATTTTTGACAAAAATCCAGAATTTTACCAAAATAAAACCAACTACAGTCGAAGTTGTATTTTGCACAGTTAATATATGAAATTAAATAGAACCAAAATTACATTCAATCATGTTCTAAAATCTTTCAATTGACAAAGCCCTGTTATCCTATTACCCGTAGAGTCTATTTGTTAAAATACCTGAGCCATTATTAAGACTTAATACATCAGGCCTAACTATAATACTTGTTTGTATCTCCAGTTGCACCTTAGTATAGTCATAGATAAAACATACTCTGTTAGTCTTATAATTACTACTGTACTAAATCTATTGTTTTGTTACTCTAGGGTCTCTCCTGGGAACTCCACCAAGAGAGCGCCAGGTACGGGCGTTAGACATGGACATGGTAAAGTCAGTAGTTTCACGCTCGGCCCTCACTTTGGCAGCCATGACAGCAGGGTTACCACCGCAACACAGACAACTCTGGTGAGTATAGTTGGTGGATATAAACATGGTGTAATTATACAAAAGTACAGGAATTAACAGGCAATATTAGAAGCTATGTAGCATTTTGCCCGTGGTATTATTCAATACACATATTCAATGCTATAAGTCTCTTAAAAGTAGTTGCGTATATGGTGTTGTTTTCTGCACTGTAAATTTTAAATATTAAAAATTCCCATAAATGCAATATTTTAAGCATCCCCAGGATGGGATCGGATTCGAGATTCTAACATGTAAACACCATTCGTGTTTTTTACTAATCGTGTTGGGAAATGTCTTCAAATATCGCAAAACATATGAACACATGATCACCAAAAATAAACATCAAATAAAGAATTCAAGCATAGTGAAAGATATTTAAGCATCTCTAGATATTCTGCACTCTTTCACATACATTCTATCTCTTCCCTGTTAAAGCAATTGTTTTGTAGTGAGAGGTAATCATTTGAAGCATGAAATTTTACATACTGGATTATCTAAATGTTTGTAAATATTACAGTTAAGTACTAGCAGCTATAAAGGTACTTGTTAACGTCGACCCAAAGGTAGTATCCAGCTCAGAGCCAGCTAATGTACACAGGTTTTGGTTCACCATGAATTTAGAGTCAGTTGATGTAAAATTTTATTTAAATGGTTAAAAAGAGTAAGCAGAGTGAAGTTGTGTGCCCTACCTCCAATTAAACCCCACTTTAACCTAAAAATATATCAACTGTTTGGAAAAGTCTAAAAAAGTTTAATCTTTTCCAGCCCAAGACGAGGCACCAGCGGCCATTTGGATGGGAGAACAGTCCTTCAACGCACCCACACCACCACCCGTCCAACAAGTTCGGTTCACTCCCTTACGACAGTTCCCATCAGTGGCTTGCGTACGGCCCCGCCGCTCTCCCCCCTCGTACCTGCCCCACAGCGGTCGACCGTCACCGTGAGGTCAGGAGAAGAACGCCGGAGGAGGAAAACGGAGAGGTCCCGCTGAAAACACTTTCTGAGACCACAGATGACGACCATGCAAACTTTTCTGACGACTCGCTAGAAGAACTGTTACCTCCTCCCCCGCCTACGTCCAAGAGAAGTAGTATCGCTTGGGAAGTTCCACTGGACTTGGACGAAGAAGCTATGATGACCCCAGGAAGCACCAAGGTTGTCGGGCGAAGGAGGAGGAAATCAACGGACAGATCGAGTAAGAAGCTTTGTATTGTTAAATGGTTCAGATAATCATAAAAATAATTCTGATTTAATGTTTTTAAATACTTCTACATAAAAAAATTATGTAGGCCCTAGCAAGCTCATGTGTTAAGGAGAATGACTGCATATGGTTGTAATGATAGATTTGATCAATATATAAGGCCTTGACTGAAGCAATGTGTAAAATGTTGGTGGACAAGATTTTCGTGTTCTAAGATGTGGAGGTGGGACGTATATTTTAAAGTTCCAAATTATTCTTACTGTATAAGCTGTAACACATATTGTTACTCTCTTTCAATCAGCACTTTTAACCTATGACAAAAAAGTACAATCGTTCAATTTACAACATTATGTAACATAGTGCAAAGGTTAAATTAATCAAGTAATTTACTAATACCCCATTAGGAATTGTTTGCACATACAAAATATGCATTGACTGAAGCTTGATCATGTTTGTGCAGGTACAGGATCCAACTCGCGGCTGAAAGACCAGGATGACTGGCCTGACCCACCCACGGGCACTGAAGATGGCTCCATCTCTCCGTTCAGTGACTGGGACTCTTCGGCTGGCAAGCTTGATGACGGCAGCTTCCTACCACCAGAACTGTCAGCGTCCGACCTCAGTGCCAGTGGAACCTATGTCATCAGGAAGGGCCGACGGAAAGAGAGAACACCAGTGCCTCTCGCTTCAAGCAAAACAGAAAAGCTTCAACAATCACCATCACACAACTCTAATTCTAAATTGAATGAACTGAAAAGATGTAGTTCAACATTTGATAATATAAAATCTCTTTTAAAAGAAGGTCTGATAGAAGGTTTAGACGAAACACCGCCGGACTTTCAACCTCCCACCCCTCCTGCCTTAGTGAGAGTTGTATCGTTACCGACGTTGACAATAGAAGAAGCCTGCCGAACAGAACCTCTCCAGATAGTGGAAGAAGTGAGAATTCCAGAAATTCCCAAAGTTGAAGAAGTGAGAATACCAGAAGTTCCAAAAGTGGAAGACGTGAGAATACCAGAAGTTCTAAAAGTGGAAGAAGTGAGAATACCAGAAGTTCTAAAAGTGGAAGAAGTGAAAAAGGAATCCAAAAGCGTAGAAGTAGAAGTGAAATCTTGTGACGTCGGTGTGCAAGTAATGGATGATTTACCTGTTTTATCCTTGAGCGAAAAACCCAAGGAAAGTGTGGAAGAAAGCACTCAGGTATCATTAGAGTATAGAGATGTAAACGACAAATCGACTGAGCTCAGTAAAAGCTGTGATAGCGTAGTCGACTCGATAACATCGAAAACCGAAGAAGCTTTGATACTCAAACTCCAACAAGATCAAACGGATGATTACAGTTCGTCGGAGGATATTTTATCACCTTCATTTACGAGTGTGACCAGACCTGTGAATAGCTTTGAAATTGCAAAAGAGGAAGTCATCACTGATCCTTGGCTCACCGCTTCGGAAATTAGTGAAGTTCAAGTTGTTCCTGTTGTTGAGGAGGAAAGTGAAATCAAAGAGGAAGTTGTGGACAAGCCGCCTGGAGACTTTAACGTAATGGTGGAAGTCCTTCAGCATGAGTTCGGCCCTCTTCCTCCTTCCCCTGTTGAAGAAGACGAAGACGAGTATAATGATGTGTTGCGCAATAGCCCAGTAAGAACATCGAGGGGAAAGGCAGACTCGGTTCCGGAGCCGTTCTATCGATGTTTGGAGCCGCCTGGGAGTGATCCGATTGGAGCCAAGTTTCTCAACCGACCTTGCCCCGACCCTCCGCCTCACAAGGAACCAACGTCCAGCCTCAAAACTCGCTCAATGGACGCAGGCTTCAGCAGGAATCACAAAAATCAACACTCAAATAGTAGAAGTAGAGATGTGAGTATAGTAAGATTGGGTTTAACTTTTTTCAATTTAAAAATAGAATCAGTCTATTGAATAAGCAAGTAATGCATATTTTTCTGACTGTCCCATAAAAAGAACTAATAAATGAGAACAAAGCAGTTTCGACAAACGATAGAATAAATGTGAATTAATAAAAATACCAATAGTTAGATTTCTCTGGTCATCAAATATTCTGAACAACTATTCTTAACCGGCCTAATATAAAACTGTAATTTTTTATTGATACCAGTAGTACCCACACAAAGAAAACTATGGCCTAGTATCTGTCATAGGTATTTTGAGGCTTTTCATTTTCAAGACCACTGTAATAGATGGGGTGATTGAATCACTTACTAAACAGCTGCTTGTTTGCATTGGCAAAAGTACCAGGGGACCGAGAATTGCTCGAGGTGTTTGATACGTTCAATAGGTTAAAAAAATAAAACCTATAAGTCTACAAATATTTTTACTTTTTCTACGATTAATTAATTTGGAAAGTCAATTCATTTTCAGTAGACATTCACTCATTCTTAATTTACCTAACAAACTTTTTTCATGTGGACGAGCAATCTATTGAAAATTTCTAAAATAAACTTTAATATAAAAACTTACGAAACATAACATCTGTTGACCGTAATTGCGTTAGTCAGTGGGATTACGGAACCTCGCAACTAATTACGACTAATTCAATATTAGTGTATAATGTCTAGCGGTAAAAGACTAAGTTTTTAAACAGTCGTAACTAATTGGTTAGTAATACATCATACACCCAAAATGTATTATATAATCAATGATCAATAGCGTTCATAGGAATGTCCTTTTCCTGTTTACTGTATTTTGTAATTTGCTACTGTACTGTAGATGTTTTGTTACAAGCATATGTTACAATTCATTTGTTTATATTTTTGTTAAACTGCAATTGCTGTTTGACAGTCCATAAGACTAATGTTAAAAAGGTTTTTAACGAAAAATGACTTGTCCCAGAACAGAGCCTAGCATGGATATTGTTTTTATCCTAAAACGAAGATATTTCCATACAATTTGGAGGAAATCATAGGGGCCGTTTTTGAAATCATTGTGCGCAAACGTTACTAATATTATAGTATAGATTGAAAACTAGTTGTAAGTTGTTTTGAGAGGTTATATTTACATGATTTTGTTTTGTTTTCTGACTTAGTTCTTTAAATGATGTTGCAGCATGATAAAAGATATAGTTCATCACATGGGCAAAAAGTGTCCTTGCTCATTCATTGAGCTCGAGCTGAAAAGAGTCATTTTACACCATAGTGATCAAATACTATTTGCATCCTTGAAAACAATTGTCTCAAAATTCCTGTGAGATTTTTATCATGGATTGATGAAAAAAGCTAACGAGTTTAGTGTGAAACCAAAATCATTAAATAATTTCCCATCATGGAGTATCTCTTTTTACGTAATGTGTGTCTTAAAGTTAAAAATCTGTAAACAGTGTTTGAAAACTTCCTGGATAAAATGGGTGTATCTATACATTTTTCTAAGCCAATCACAAATAAGTATTTTGTATTTTATTAATCAAAATTTCTCAGTTATAGCACAGGGAAGTAAGAAACAGAGGATACATTCAATGGTACACATAAGTGGTGTCTAGCACTAGTCGCTGGTCTCTAGAGCAAAGTCTATTTGTCGTCTCATTTCACTCCCCTTTCCCCCCTCGCCATCACGTACTACAGCGCTCACACAGTAGGTAGACCCTGTGTGCTACAATGCTGTTCAAATATGCTATGTGGCCATCGCCGTTTGGGCTCTTTCTTGCTCGTCTAGTACAATTCCGTCCCAACATACCAAAGCTATACGTGCACGGTTGTCCCATAAGCTTGCATCTTCTGTATTTTACTTCCCTGCGGTTACTGGGGTTATAGTCACAATGTCACAATAGTCACAGTTTATAGATTGGGAAAACATAATTGAGTTATACTCTTGAAATTATCAAGCATATTCTAAAATAACAAATCAATCAATGGCCATTAAAAATACATACACTAATCAAAGAAAAATATCTAAAATGGGATAGCCTAACAAATTTGTTTGATTTATCAGATTCCGTCAGAGCGGAGAACGCTGCCGTCAGAGTTACCAGGTCCATCGAGACGACGAACGTTCCAAAAGCGAGGCAGCAGTCAATCTCCGAGAGAAGAAGGCCACATGCAGGTACAGACTGATCAACAGCTAGGCTTCATACACGTACAGTGAAACCTCACTAACTCGACAATTTGTGGACCTGGGTCCAACCACTGATGGAGGTTGTCGAGTTATCCAGAACATTGAAATTCCGAATGGGTTTTAATAAATGAATTTATAACAGACTAACTTTTACATATAAATGTTTTTATTACATGAGTATTTTTACATTTTGAGTCAAAAATCATCATACAAATGTTTAATATTCAACAATTAAAAATTGGAAAGTTGGACACAATAGTCAGACAAAGCCAGCTAAACATGCTACCTGTCATTTGTTGACAAGTCTTGAGCTACATCAATTAAAGGTTTACATGCACGATAAATAAGTACCGGTACCTATAAGATAAATTATCAATAATACAGACAGGATTACTAAATAATTTATGCACTAATATAATATAATATAACAAACTTCATAGCTGCGCACGCTGCCCATCCCCACCTTTATTTCCCCTTAAGGACAAGTTGCATTAGTAAAAAATTCTCATTTCGCCAAAGGGAGTCTTGTGTTTATTTATTTAATTGTATACAAGACGACCAAAGCAATAATTGACAGTGAAACTATTTGTTGAGGAAGTAGGTTCCCCACTATCTATTTAGTTTAAAAATGACAATATTTTGGTCTTACGACAAAGTAATTGGTCGACCAACTGGTATGCTCCCATGTTTATTAGCATATTATACCAAGATTTAGTTAAAAAAACCATGTTGGAGGATAGGTAAAATGTAATGTTTTGGCACAAAACCTAACAAACTATGTAGGTTTGGATTTATTGAAAAAGTACCTTTAGTAAGCCACTTGACCACCTATATTTTTCTACTTTGCGGTGTAGAATTTTTGTTGTTTAAAATGTACTCGTACTTATATCACCACAACTAATGTTTAAACTGTTACAGGTGTCCTGTTCACTCCCCGAGACCCCTATTTTTGCTAGAGGCTGTGATATTCCCCGCACGCCGCACCGTCGTGCCCCCGAAGTTCCCCCCACCGGGACCCGCACCACCCCCCGTCCCCCTGGCATACAGACCAGCAGTTACCGGCGGACCCCTACCACTGTAGGGCACGGTACCACTGGCAGCACTACCACACTTGGTACGTACAGTACAATCAAAGAATTCAAAAAAATAAATAATAAAATAGTTTTAAACTTGAATCATTACAAATCTGCAAATTAAGGAAGGCTATAAAGATGCTTAAAGTTTTTATATGGTTAATGGATAGTATTCTACTGGCAAAAAGTTATTATCAAAGAGAGAATATTTTTCCAAACAAATTTACCTGTTCTTAAATTAGTACAATTTGAAAATGTACAAATTCATTCTATATGGAAATTATGTGTCATCCATGAATTAACATGTTACATATTCATTGAAATAAATTGAACTTAAAAGAATTCTAAGATGAGACTTGAAGGGTAATGTGTCTGTAACTATAAAGGCAGTTTTCAGTACATATTTCAGTTATTTGTGCAAAAGCAACAAGTAGGCTTAATCTTGATGACGTTGGAGGAATATGTTCTTGGTAGGAGTTGTAGTGAGACGAAGGACGTGCGTAGTGGGTACAAGTACGTGGTATGGGATGATATCAAATACATTAGTGAAAGATGTGAACAAAGACTGCAGGTTATAGAATTATGTTCGGCGTGACAGGTGAACAGGAAAGTTTCTCAGCATACAACGCGTGGTTTCAAAACGCCAACTATTCAGCAACTGAGCAAGTTTTGTTTGTACTCCCCAACTAGCACACCGCCAACTCGCCACCTTCTTTTTTGTTGTTGAAGCTTGTAAACATGTTACATACTTGACCCTAAAGTGTACAGTAATATGCTTAGTTACTAAAATCTCATCACACACAAAGCTTAGTATAAAAAGATATTTCACTTCACATCTGATATCTTTAATTTTCCCGCAGGCCAAGCTATGGTGGGGGCAGAGCTGCTCAGGCTGACTGGTGGGCCAGGTAGAGGGTGGTATCCCCGCCATCGCAACCCTCGTCCAGCATCTGTGGAGCACCTGGACCATCTAGCTCACCCAGCGGGGGCAAACACGGGTACAGGCACCCACGGGTGGGACTCTAGCCACCCCCGCAAGCCACTCACTCTTCCACCTAACCTTACACCCAAGTTCTTCCACAGGTCTCCCAGAGAGGCACTGCGCAGGGTTACCAGTCTGCTGATACGGAAAGGTAAGTGAATTTTTTTGTTTTTAGTGTCCTGGTATTGTAAAAATATTCCCTGCTGTGCATATTGATGAGATATTTTTGTGATGATTTATAGTTTTTTCAATGGATTTAACATTTGAGTGAAATGTTTGTGTATTTTTTTGAACCATGTTTTAATTTGTATATTTACTGATTGAACATGTACAGCTCGTGACATCTAAGCTGGCAATTGGCCGATCGCCACTATTATCTAGTTCAAAAACGTTATGTCCTGTCATGCGGGTTGCATCAACTGTCCTCGCGACCCATATGAAGGCGCTCATGTGCATAATACAAGGGGAGTCAACCCCGTGAGGCAGCGGAAATGTTTGCAGTCCGGTCTTATCCCTACCTCCACCCTCCTCCCGCCTACCCTGCCTGCGCTAGGCCAAGTGCCAGCTTAGATGTCACGAGCTGTATGTTATCACGTATAACATTTTGTAATATCACTGTAATATCATATGGAAGAGAGAACTACAACATAAGATATCAATTTAACAATAGAAAGTCAGTCTATTACTAACGTAAAGTACTGTAATGAAATGGTACTGTAATTACCATTGCCCTGAGCGTCCTAACAAGCTATACTTCTGTTTCCATAAACTGTCCTCTTATCGTTAACCCTATTGTTTTTTCGATAAGGTATGAAGGGCAAGTTAATATGTGGTTAATGAGGCAGTTACGTCTTTGTCAACAAAAGCGAAAGAAGCATAATCACTCAATCATTTGATGGTTCATTTTCATTAATTTTTGGTTCGCCACTAGGTTTTATTAATCATCTTAAGTCCATGCTTTTCTCGCATACTTTAAACACATATGGAAAACATAAAGACTTTCTTAAAACTCTATAACTCGCCTAGTCAAATGAGTTTTCAATGAGTTTTCCAGCGACTTCCGTTTGCCTCGACGCATCGTCAGATTTGGTTATTTTTGTTGTGTTTGTGGTCGTTCTACACATAAGATCCCAACTGAGTCTTCCAATGAGAGCATTGTTTTACAGATGACTCCAGCCCAGCCCCTCCCGTCCCTCCTCATAACACAAGTCTGCAGCGTAAGCAAGGTACGTCACACACATGTTTGGGTCTTGTTCATTATCTGTCTACCACTGTGCTTGGTGAGCGGTTACTGCCTTTAGGAGCCAGCTTGGTAAAGGGTGTGATCCACCACTGAAGATTTAGCTTGGAAAATGTTTTAATATGCCACCACATGTAGCATTGCAATGGTTATGATTGAATTTTGTAGATTTAGCTTTGAAAAGAACGTGCATATCCGCTATAGATTTAGCATGGCAATGTTTATGATTGACTTCTGCAGATTTAAGTTGGTAAAGTTTGTGATCGACTACTGCAGATTAGCCTCGGTAAAGGACTTGATCGACTGCTGTAGATTGAGATTGTAGATAAAGATCAAGATCGGCAAAGTTTGATTATTTTTAAAAAGTGATCTTCTAAGCTTGTTTATTTCTAATTTCTCTAATGTATGCCGTCACTTTTTTTATGTTCACCCTTTTTAAAGTGTCATTATAACTACAGTAGACTCTCAGTAATCCGGCAGATATGGGACGGCGATTGCGCATGACGACGATGACGTTTCTGTGACCGCGGGAGACAATGTTAATGTTCACGGCCGTGGAAGAGGATCATGATCACGCTATGTGACCGCGGGAGTAGATGATGATGTCCACACAGCTGCAGTATATAATCAGAATTTCGCCGAATCTCGGAAGACGACAATAATGTCTACACGACCGTGGGAGATGATCGGAAATTTTCTGCAATCGCGCAAGACGGCTATGACGTTTTTGTGACCGCGGGACTTAATAGAGTCGCGAGAGATAATCAGAATTTTGCCGCGATTGCGGAAGACCTCACCCGTCAAAAGACGCCGGATTACTGGGGTGCCGGGGTGGTGCAGTGCTGGATTATGGAGGGTCTACTGTACTTGAAAAAGGATAGAAAGTATCCTTAATTAAGGATGTATGTTAATCCTTTCAGCTCCAAGTTCAATGCTACTGCAGACATGAATAACATAAACCCCTTTACTTACAAACATTAGCAAGGGTCGTAACACATTACAGTAAAAAGGCTAGACCATTACAGTAGACTCCATCTTCTCGGGAAACCTTTTAAACGGACTACACTTGGCAGGAGTGACATCTCTAATTTAACGTTAATGTCCCTAATTTAAAGAGTTTTAAGGGACATCAGTTTAACCGGAAAACCTGTTATCTGGACTACCCTTGGCCCCAAGGGTTTGAATATCATCTCTTCCAGTGTGAAACTGGTGAGTAACCCCATCAAAAGTAAACTGTGGACAGCTTTTGTGAAAGTTGAAGGGATGGATTGATAGCTGTTCAGTACACTTTTTATCAGGCATTTTGTGTGTTTGAAAACCTGTTTCATTATGAAAGTTTTATTCTTTAACTTACACTCCATACAGATAAAATTGTGAAAGCAGTACCTGTTTTTAAACATAATTAACAATGTTTGCACCGCCTCTTGGAAGTTAGTCGGATTGATGTATTCTATTTGAGTTCTAACAAAATAATATAGTACACTTATAAAACATACAACATCCATCTCACTACCTTCAGGGCTGAGGAGTTAGTATGTTTTTAACATAAAGGCTATCCCTCATTATGGATATAGTAACCAGCCAAGTCATCTAAATTCAAATTCAGTCATTTTCATTTGTACTATGATTTTTTTTTAGCTTTCTCATATATAAACTCGTCAAATAGTTAGTTGCAGAATTGGAAGCACTGCTTGTTTTTCAAATCCCAAAATATGTTATAAATAAATAAAAAGTTGCCAGGATATATCATAAAAAATGAGGTGCGACTGTTTTGGTGTCATATAATAATGATGTACGCTCCGAGGCCATAACAGCTCAGCATTATGTACTCTTCATGGCTCTGTACTATGATGCAAGTCCGCACAGGATACATGCTCATGCACAGTGGTAGATAGACAATATCAAGATGGCGAGTTTGCTTGTCCCTGGCACAGGTTGTTTACTGCACGGGTTGTCAATGTTGTCTTGTGATAGGTTAGTGTCTTCGCTCCGACTTAGATATTAGCTTAGAGAACACACCCTTCATTTTACCAGGAATCCTTAGCAAATACTGAAGATGTTTATTAACATTCAAACATTTGTAATCACATGTTTAGATTATTGGAGTGTTTGATAGCAAAATACAAACATTGCCTTATTTGAAAATTCTTCAAATGTGGCAGTATTTGCTTCACTTTCATTCATGGTATCATAGCTGGGTGGTAGAAAGTCTAATGTCTCACTCATATTTCTCAGAAGAATCGAGGGTGTAAATTCAATTGTATCTTGTTTATTACCTTGGTTTACAAGCACATGAAACGTAGTTCATTTTGTGGGAGAATCAACATGGAAAGGTGTCTGATGTAGCAATAGTGAGTGATTGTAGAAGCTGTGTGCTAAAAGACAACAATAGACACCAGTTTTAGTCACAAAATAAGTTCATATACTCAGTTAATTAATTATTATCAAGATTATAGAAACTGCTTTTGATAAATATAATTTAATGATCACTATTGCAGTATCAGAGGCGGTCTATCCAGGTCGGCTAGTCTACAATACCCTCGTGACTTCTGAAATGTATAAAAAAATATGTTTCATAAAAATAAAAAAGACAACAATGATGTCTTTGCGAACACAGCCAGACATCATATTATTATTCGCAAGCGCACAAAGTTTTGTTGATGTCAATGTGATTGTAAGTGGTGCTCAATATTTGTCCATGATTAGGAGTACGATGATATGATGACTTAGTAATCTTTGGCAGATGCTCTCAATGTCATCGTGATCACTAAAGACGATGATGTCGGTTGTAATAGCGGGAGATATATATGTTTTTGCTTTGATCACAAGAGGCAAAAATGTCACAATCATGGGGGATGTTCGAGATTTTTTGCAATCAAGAGTGGCAATGATTGTATGATGTTGTGAGATCTTAATAATTTTCTTGTGATAGCATGTCAGAATAACAAAGTCTTCGCGATTGCATAAGACGATAAACAATTTTCAACTAAAATAAGACAGGATGATGATGTCTCCGTCATTGTGGATGATGTTTTAGAATTTGCCACAATCTCAAGAGATGTTTAGAATTTTGCCTGTATAGTGGGAGATATTCAGGATTCTCCCAGAATGGCTGGTGACGATGTTTTATTATGTAACTTACTTACATTTATGTTACAAAATACAATCGTTTGTTTTATTATTCAAAGGAAAGGCAAATGTGGATTCTGACCAAATTTTAGCAAGTTTCAAAATGGAATCTATTTTTTTCATCTTTAGTTTATAATATACTATCTCATGCGCTGGCTTTATGAAATAATCATGGCACATAATGAGAGGTGATTCATGAACAACTTGCTTAAGCAGGTTGTCCATACCAGGAACCCAAAGTTCAATTTTTTCAGTGTTCTCAGTTTCATATAATCCTGTAAAATTTACTATTGGATGTTTTGTAAATTTGAAGTTTTCTGTTCCTTTCTATTTGGTCAGACATGGTTAACTGTTTCCACTCTCATTACTGCATTGGTATTCACTACTAAATTTTGTGCTTTAGAAAAAGAAACAAGAAAAGTTATTTTGTATTTAGCACTGCTGCAAGCACATTCAATTGAATTATATTATTGGGCTGATGATTTGTTAATCAAATACCAGCACAATTTATTAGTAAGTATCGCCTGTATACCAAGGGCTAACTATTTTTAATCCAGCCTATACTTTTTACTGAATTGCTGTCGTGTCAACTTGTTTTTGTTTTGCATAACACTAAGAAGAAACTAGTACACTCATTTTATTTGTATGGTAGCCATTTCAGAATAGACACGTTTAATTAAAGAAACCAAGTATTAAAGTAAACCATAAATAGTTTATTTTATTGTACGAGATAAATGCAGTGGGCTACCTAGGCCAGAGAACCCGTGGACAGACGTCGTAAGTCGGATGCTTACAGGGTGGCTAGGAGGTCTCTTCGTCGAGCCAACAACCGGAGTAAACGCAGTTGCTGGGACACATTAGGGGACGATGTCGATTCCAACCCGTGGGGCCTGGGTTACAAACTTGTAACCAAGGAACTTGCCACCTGCTCTCCACCTTCCGTCATGGACCACTATGGAGAGGATAGTTGAGTCTCTTTTCCCGGCTCACACGTTGCGCCTACTGGTGGATTTCGGAAGGGGGGTCAACGTCCCACTTTTCATTCTTGAAGAGATGGAGGCGGCCGTCCTATCCTTTGAAGAACAATAAGGCTTGTGGACCCGATGGGGTACCTGGCGAAGACCTCAAGAAGGTTTTGACTACTAACCCCTTCATCCTTTTAAGCATGTACAACGCCTGCCTGGTCGAACGGGTTTCCCCTCGTGCTAGAAAACAGCTAGGCTTGTGCTTGTTGGGAAGAGGAAGGGAGACCCAGACCTATCATCCTCTTACAGACCTCTGTGTATGTTGGATACGGCTGGCCAAGTCGTTAAGAAGTTAATCCTTCCCCAGCTGATTTCAGCCGTGGTCGCTGCAGGGGACCTGTCCCCTTGTCAGTATGGATTCAGGATGGGGCTATCTACAGTCGACACTATTGAGAAGGTGAAGCAAGCCGTAATAAGAGCTGAGGATCTTAACCACTACTCTCGTAGGGTTGTGCTGCTCGTAACACTCGTTAAAATGTGTGAAACGTATTTAATTAATGATATGCTGGATGCTCTGGTAACCTTCCATGTTTCGGCATACCTTATGCACATCATAGAGGATCATCTCTGGTCTGGCCTCCTCATGTATGACACTACGGAAGGCCTGGGGACGATGTGTGTCACTTCTGGTACTGCCCAAGGTTCCATACTCGGCCCAGACCTCTGGATTGTTGCTTATTGTTGCCTTCTGAGGTCTGAAATGCCTGAGAAAACTGTTTTGGTTGGGTACGCAGACGACGTTGCAGCTTTGATAGTTGCACGTAGCGTTATGCGTACCATAAACGCATGGATGGCAGACCACGGTTTCTCGCTCGCTTTGAGCAAAACTGAG